ATAATTATAGGAAACGTTACTATAATTATAGGAAACGTAACTATAATTATAGGAAACGTAACTATATAGGTAACGTAACTATAATTATAGGAAACGTAACTATAATTATAGGAAACGTAACTATAGTTATAGGAAACGTAACTATAATAATAGGAAACGTAACTATAATTATAGGAAACGTTACTATAATTATAGGAAACATAACTATATAGGTAACGTAACTATAGTTATAGGAAACGTAACTATAATTATAGGAAACGTAACTATAATTATAGGAAACGTAACTATAGTTATAGGAAACGTAACTATAATTATAGGAAACGTAACTATATAGGTAACGTTACTATAATTATAGGAAACGTAACTATAGTTATAGGAAACGTAACTATATAGGTAACGTAACTATATAGGTAACGTAACTATAGTAATAAGTAACAAAACTATCGTTATAGGAAACGTAACTTTAGTTATAGGAAACGTAACTATATAGGTAACGTAACTATAGTAATAAGTAACAAATCTATCGTTATAGGAAACGTAACTATAGTTATAGGAAACGTTACTATAATTATAGGAAACGTAACTATAGTTATAGGAAACGTTACTATAATTATAGGAAACGTAACTATAATTATAGGAAACGTAACTATATAGGTAACGTAACTATAGTAATAAGTAACAAAACTATCGTTATAGGAAACGTAACTATAGTTATAGGAAACGTTACTATAATTATAGGAAACGTAACTATAGTTATAGGAAACGTAACTATATAGGTAACGTAACTATAGTAATAAGTAACAAAACTATCGTTATAGGAAACGTAACTATAGTTATAGGAAACGTTACTATAGTTATAGGAAACGTAACTATATAGGTAACGTAACTATAGTAATAAGTAACAAAACTATCGTTATAGGAAACGTAACTAAAGTTATAGGAAACGTAACTATATAGGTAACGTAACTATAGTAATAAGTAACAAAACTATCGTTATAGGAAACGTAACTATAGTTATAGGAAACGTTACTATAATTATAGGAAACGTAACTATAGTTATAGGAAACGTAACTATATAATTATAGGAAACGTAACTATATAATTATAGGAAACGTAACTATATAGGTAACGTAACTATAGTTATAGGAAACGTAACTATAATTATAGGAAACGTAACTTTATAGGTAACGTAACTATAATTATAGGAAACGTAACTAT